CTCAGCTGCTGTGGTGCTGGTACCGCTGCCGATACTGAAATGACAACCGACTTGATTGCCTCGCAATTGGAAATGCATCGTCTAAACACTGGCCGCCAAGTGCCTGTCGTAGCAGCAAATACACTGCTTAAACAATTTCTTTTCCGCTATCAGGGTCACATTAGCGCTGCTTTAGTGCTTGGCGGTGTTGACAAAACAGGCGCATACATCTATTGTATACATCCACACGGTTCCACAGACAAATTGCCCTACGCCACTATGGGTTCAGGTAGTTTGGCTGCTATGTCTGTATTTGAATCGCGCTGGAAACCCGATATGACTGAAGAAGAAGGCAAGTTATTGGTACGTGATGCTATTGCCGCTGGTGTCTTCAATGACTTGGGTTCCGGTTCGAACATTGATTTGTGCGTTATACGCAAAGAATCTGTTGATTACCTACGCAATTATGAATTGGCTAACCTGAAGGGCACACGACATGTAAGAAAGTGTAGTTTGTATGTGAAAGCGATGTTTTAATGGTTTATCAATTTTTGCAGGGAAACTACAGTTTCAAGCCTGGCACAACTGAACTCGTCGGCACGGAAGAGGTGTTCGATGTCATACCCTTCGAAGCTTTCCACAAAAAGTTGTCATCTAATGACTTAAGTGAGGCAATGGAGGTGGTTGCTTAATATATGTATATGAGGACGCATGTGAAAAATATACTAAAATAATTTAGTTTTTTGAAAATAAATAGATTTTTAAAGAATTTCGAGTACTTTAATATTGGTCAAACTCCAAAATATCTCATCACAACGCAACGAATTAGAACTCTTGCTATAACTAATATATTACTTGCAAGACACAACTGTTTAAACTCTCGTTGTGTACATACCTATATACATATCGAGCCCTAACCGCCAAAGACGTAAGCGACATTTTTTCAAACTTCTTTTTTTGATGCAGAAATGTTCCTAGAGAATGTAGATGCATTTCTGCACAAAAAGTTAAACTTTGAAAAAAAAATCGGTTTTACGTCTTTTTGGCGGTTAGGGATTGATATATTTGTAATGAGAAAAAGTTTTCCTATTGATTACTAAGTCAACATCCCGTCCTGAATTCAAGGCATCATCCAACTGCGCTGAACTCATTTTTACCAAGGTAAAAAAATAAAATAACCTCTTCCGAAAGAAGTTACGAGAGCAGAGACAAACAAGCGGTATACTTCGATTAAAAAATTTCCTCTTTATTTAATTTTTCTTGGAACTTTTCTGATTATCAACACTCTTTTGTTTTTACACAGGAATATGATTAGAAATATATTAATATATATAGGTAGTATGCATACACTTGGTGTTTATGAATATATTAGTCGACTGTTTTACACTTAGACATCCCTTTACATTTCCACATAGGTGGGCATGGTCATGACACCGCAGTTATTCTTGCGTGCAGACATCAAAATGTAACCGTCATTACCCCAATAAGTCGACCACGAATTCTTAACCAACCAATAATCTTCACCATTAATTGTGCCATAGCCCACAGCCAACACAGCATGATCCAATTCATCCAAACCATTCTTACAAGTTGGCTCATAGTAGACACCATGCGAGTAGAAACTGAATGTACGTGGCGATGCATCAATGGCCACCGAGAGCGGACCATGCTTGAGCAATGCAATTTTGAAAGCATTCGAATCGCCTGAAGTGACATTCACGAAACCGGTAATTGGTGCAGCGAGTGTAAGATTTTGTACATGACAATAACCATCTTGACCCAAGTAGGGACCATAATCCTCTTCCGTTGGTACGCCACCCATTTTCATCATCCACTGATAGGCACGGAAGTCTTCACCACCATCACAGCCATTATTGCCGTACTGCCAGGAGCAATCGATGAGCGCTTGCTGAGAGAGACGCACCAGATTGCCGCCATTTTTAAGGAAATAAGCGCCTTCGATATGACCGATCGTGCCAAAGGACCAGCATGAACCGCAAACTGATTGGTCTGAGGAATGGAGAGGATAAGAAAAGTTTTGGAAAGTAAGAGAAAGGCATATTTAAAAAACAAAGAAAATTCATAGTTTAGCGGGATTTCACTAAGTTTAAAACTCACTTTTCGCCTAATCTTCCTTGTGCCTAATTGTAAATTTTTTCAATGAATTTTCCACTCACCCTTAACAGGCGTTACCGCGCCATACAAACGCCAATCGTACTGATCAGGTAGATCATCTTTTAGCTTTTCAACATTGTATGGGAATGGTTTGCCTGTATTGTAAACACCAGACGATCTGAAACCGCGGCGCGCACGCAATTCCTCGTCCGTCTTGTCAGCCAAATGGTTTACTGCCAAAGTATAGCTCAAACGCGCACGATTCTTTGAGTGTATGAAGCGCAAATTTTGCCTGAAAATATTTTTGCGATATTCATGCTCATCATCGGTCTTATATTTGATGCTATGCTTGTGCTTGAAGTGATCGAAAGCGTGTTCGACGTGATGATCCACAGCGGGATGCACGAACTCCTGCATTGGATTGAAGGTGGCATAGTGGCCGGCGCCTGGACCAGGGAAGGGTACACAAGCCATGCCTACAAGTACAATAAAATATGAAAGTGTGCTGCAATTGAATCTATCACCAAACTCACTTTCATCCAATTCGAAGACTTCATTTGGTATATCATCCTTTTCATAGCTATCATAGTCCAAGAAGTAGTGATCAAAATGTGAGCCCAACAACGAATTATAGCCACGCATCTCATAACGCACTGGTATGGGTTGACGTGCGGCCGGATAATGTGGCGATTTCTTGTAGCGTACCCACAAAGTATAAACATTACGCTTTTGTCCGATTACCTCTTCCAATCGGAATTTGTCGCAAGTAAAACCCAAGAAACTTTCTGTGCCCAAAAGCGTGAAGTTTCTAGCATCGGGTAGTATTGTTTGAATTCCCACACGATTTTCCGCGGTACCATTCAGCTGCAAGCAAGTGATCTGATTCAATTCCTGATCGGTGGTGATCGGTGCCAATTTAAGTGAAGTGCCATAGGGCATAACACTGGCCAACTGATAGGTTTTCACCATGCCGCCATAGTAGTCGATACGGGAGCGTTTCGTTGTCTTATCATACCAGGCGTAGAAGGGTTCCGCGATTTCTGCATAGGGAATGTAGAGTGTGCCCTTGGCGATGTAAGTCTCATCCCATTTTGGCGGTTTGGTAGCGAAAACTTAAAAGATAAAAGTAGAAATTAGGCATATAATTTTAAAGATGTAATGAATGAGCAGAGACTAGTTCATCTGGGGGCTGGATTCATGAAGGCCTTGCGCGGCAGCGGTTCTTGATTTATTTCACCTACTTGTTCGTCAAAACTCGACTGAGATTCACAGGGATACACTAACACCACTCTTACCGCCTCTAACGCTACTTTACGATAGGGCGTTCTACCTAATCGCTGTAAAAATTTTCTATAAACGCTTTTGACTCAGCCAGGTACAAGCTTACTCCGATGTTTTCTGGGAAAAGACTGTTCCGCAAAGAAGCACCATTAATAACCTGCCATTACAAGATGATAATGATACCTGTCTCACAAATGGTGCCGAATTTGGCGCATGAACAAGAACAATAACTCTGCTCATTTCGGGTACTCGCGATTATCGCAAACATACTCATACTCATAGTGACATCCTTGGGTCTGTTCCAGTTGACGCAGTTCCAGATAGGCCTCAGCGTCTATCGAAGCTACCTGCACCGATTTGGACACGACAAATCGCCGCTTTGCCCAGTCTGTTACGGAGCAGAAGATGTGTGCCACGTAGTCTTCAACTGCCCGCGCCTCAACCAGCACTTGAAGCAAACACAAAGAATATTTGTTGTCAACATAAAAGTCGATTTTTAATAGAGTTCCATACTACGCTGCGCCTGTGTGGTCGCTGGGGACTAAGAAATGTCAGAATGCCTCATTTAGTATTGGCAAGGGATTCCTTCTGATGTCGTCTTAGCATCGCTTACATGTCGCGATGCTACTGCGAAAACGTTACCAACATGCCTGAAGCCCAGTGATCTAGAATTAATCTCGACATACCTAACCTATGCTCAATATATAAAGATGTCCCGTACGACACTAACTACCACATCGCAAGCCCAGTCAAACCAACTCATCTAAGTGACCTCTCGATATGGCCCAACTACGACGAAACAACCATTTTCCTGGGCCTACCGTTAGATGAGGTTGACAACAACAATAAGGGAATTCACTGATTTAGGAAGAGTTTAGCAATTTTCTACAATAACAACCACACACCTATATCGAAAAAGAATACATTGTGCAACTTACAAATATTTTTTGGACGAATTTACGGTATAAATTTTGTCAAAGAATCGATCCATCTAAGATGGACTCAAGTAAAAGCGGAATTACAAAATTACGAGCAGTAACTTACAAACGTCTGATATAGCTTGGCAGGGGTCTCAAACAGTGTGCTAATGTCTTCAGATCTCAGAGTAGTTCTTTAACATTGCTTATGGAGCCTAAAAAATGGTATTTAACGGTCGCTTATGTGTCTGGCAGCACTGTGAAGGCATCCTATGTGTTTGATGAGCTCCTGGTTAAACTGATAGCTAAGCCTAACATCCTAACAGACCTTCGTATATTTAACTTCCCTGAATTCTTTCCTTTCTTTGACAAACAATCTTTGATTTCTACAGCACTAACAACGTACTGAAGGCGTTTACCCGCGTTCGGGTAGGGAAGCGCCGAACCCGCCAGAATGCTTTTCTACGAACCTGTACTGCCTACCTTTGTCGTCTCAAAATCACATAAATGTCAAAACTAAAATTCTGGAGTTCAAACAACGCAACATGGCTCTAACTAAGCATTGTCGTTGGGTTGCCAGTGTTCAAACCATGTCAACTTTGATCTAATGAGCGGAACTGTACCACTCCATTCATGGAGACAAACTACATCATTAGGCGACAACTCCACCTTCTCCAGAGTTCGCGATGGTTTTCATGCTCGAAGTCCATCTTCACTTATCTCCACAGAGGAAACCGGACTCCCAACGGAACCTAGAATCAACCTGATCCAATTACGATCAAGTTGGTATATAGCCTACTACAGCGTCGAGATTTAAGCGGAGATTACAGACAACGTCACATACCTCTCCGGCATAGAGACGCTCTAAACTCAAACTTGGGATACCGCACGCTTTTTTTGGACCTTGGCGGTTTATCGGTGTAAGGTTGTAAAATAAAAATGTCTGACCTAACCTCCGCAGCTGAGAACGTACAGCAGTCCAAATGTGAAATTAGTTGTTAATATTTTTTTTTTTTTTTTTTTGTACAAGTATATTCATGTCCAAGTGCGGTTAAGCATCTGAATATTTGTGTTCATGCCGATATGATGCATGAACCGAATTAAACAAAGCGCCTATATATGTACATTTGAATATGTATGTGTATATGTATTTGTATACATATGTATCTCCGTTAGGGTGCATCACTCACCATACAATAAAAAATCGATACTGTTTTTCCAACGGAATTGTAAAATTTCTTATATTTGAGGAGTTCTGCGGAAATATTTTGGAAAAGTATTAAGATTTACGTGAGCTAAACCGATTTGAAAAAACAGCGAAAATCGAGTTTTATATAAATAAAATTAGTTTTTAAAAACATTTTTCCAAAAAATCTCTTCAGCTGATAAAAGCGTATGCTTAAAAGGTCTGCATAAAAATGTTTAAAATTTGGTTATTTTCTGTTATAACTCACAGCTCATACACCCCCCCTTGCTTTTCCCGCAATATTTTGGCAAAAGTCCTAAAATATAATAAATTTTAATTCCGGTGAAAAAACTGTCCATTTTTTGGTGAGGCACTCTAATGTACCTACATATGTGCATACGTATGTAAATTAATAACTCAAGTCGAAAACAAAGTGCGAACTCAAGCTTGAAATGGCGGCTATAAAGATTCTTTGTTAAACAAAAACAAATCTACCGCAAATTGAAAGAAGAAAAAAACCGGTAAAAGTTAACGAAATCGTTCAACAAAACGGGTTAAGAAAGTTAAAAAAAAATTTGCAAACCAAAAAAAGAGCGGGAAGAAAACACTGTGTAAAATGAAAAGTGCCGCTCGGTGTTGACTTCACAACTGGAACATTTTTTCCATAATTCACGAGCATAAAGAGTGAGATTGAATTTTAATTTCATACAATTTTTTACTTATTAGTATTTAAGTTAAAACACTTACCCTCCGCACTCAGCCCGCAAGCCACAACCAATAAAACCACTGCAAATCGCATTCTGTGCTGCGTAATCCAAACCAGTCGGCTTCTCACAAGCACAGCACTTTGCACAGAACTTTTGCAATTACTTTTTTTATTGCTTTTTATTGATATTTCAAAGCGAATGTATTGCAAAATTGATTAATTCCAAGTAATAGCAATTATTTCTTTCTACACACAGCAGCTTACAAAATATAATACTATGTATGTAAGCTTCTCACTTTATTCTTGCTTCTTTGTTCCAACCCAAATATAAGTGGCGTGTTCTATCGACCGCTACGAGCGGACTACTAAATGCTACACTCAACTAAAAGGCCAACGAAAGCCTCAGCCACAGACAAGAGAATCCGTATTGGGCGCCCGTCAATAGAAGCAGCAATACTAACGCAATTACTTCCATATATGTATGTGCATATGTATTAGGGTGCATCACTTTCCTTACAAAAAAAAAAGTTCGGTACTGTTTTCCTTTGGAAATATAAAATTTATAATATTTTACGACTTTCGTCAAAATATTTCGGAAAAATACTAAGAATTACGTGAGCTGTACCTATTTGAAAATACTCCCGAAAATCGATTTTTTCATAAATCAAATTAGTTTCAATAAAATATATATATTTTTTATAAATCACATCAGATATGATAAAAGAGTTAACACTTTTAGGTCTACATAAAAATGTTAAAAATATTATTATATATATTATATATTATATTAAAAATATTTCGCAAAATCGCAAATCGTAATATTTTAACGATTTTTTTTTGGCGTGAGTCTTAAATTATAATAAATATAATAATTCCAGTAGATCTTATTGTACTAATGCATTTGTTTAATGAAACATGAAATGAAAACCCGCAACTTTTTTGGTGACGCACCCTATTGTACATACATACATACGAATCTGCTTTGGAGGCATAAATAGTCAACAGTGACGGTTCTGGCTGATACAGTGGGTAAGGCGTGAAGGAAATCTAAAGCAACGCAAAAAACTATATTCAAAGTCCAAGCTACAATCATTCATCTACCAAAGAAGTAATAAATTGGAGATCTCTTGAGAGTAAAAAGTGAGATCCATGGTACTTTAAATTTTAGAGCTATTAAAACAAACTTCCCAAATGAAAGAACAAGAATAGACAATCCCAGCACTTGTCAGAAACTCGTTCTGCAATAGGATGCTGTCTTTTTAAAAGTATAAAAAATACTTACAGAGCCCATCTCGAGTTCACGTTTCACCAAAGTCCTCATCTTGGCAATAGACAATGTCATCATTCCCCATATGTGGGACCACTCTTCCACTGCTTGAACCGCGGAAGACTGCCAACAAAGGAGAGCCGTATCGGCCGATAACACTCCTATCCCCGGTAGCGAAGACATTAGAGGCGTATATTACGTACCACCTGACCCCAGCGAAACATCAGCATGGCTTCCGTCACGTGCACAGCACCAGCACTGCACATAACGCCAGAAACCCTCGTAGCGTTGGACTTGTTTGACACGGTGGACCATTCTACTAGAGGCTTCCTCTCTCCTACATCCTAACCTAGGAAGTTTAAACTAAGTGGTGTCCTCCCTCTCTCCATTTCTGTTCAACTACTATTTATATTTCGAAACTTCCCCAACTACCAGAGAGAGTTTCCATTGTCTCGTACACTTACGATTGCTCGATTATGCCGCCTGGCAATGGAATTGATGACTTGTGCTCGAAAGTAAACGTTTACCTCTCCGAACTTTCTAGCTACTTCATTGCAACGAGCCTAACTCACTCCCGTACGAAATCCTCAGCAACCCTGTTTACAACCTTGACGAAAGCGGTCAGGCTACAGATGGGTATTCACATCAATAGCGAGTAAATTCCGACGGTGAACATCCCGAAAATTCTCGGAGTCCTTTCGACAGCTTGCTCCCTTTCTCGGCGCACCCAATCAAAATTGTCAAAAAATACAGAGCCGCATTACAGTCCTCAAATTTCTAGCCGAAAGCACTTGGAGTAAGGAGCACGAAGCTCTGTTGGCAACATGCAAGGCGATTGGAAGGCCGGTTCTAAACTGTGTAGCGCTCGTGTGGTCTCCGTGAACTAAAAGGACACAGAGGATTAAGTAACAGACCTATTAAATTAGTGCACTCCAGACAGCCACGGGATGCATTCTGATGTCGGTGGGCCCAGACGCTCCCAGTAAGGGAGCACAACATTATGTTTTGCACCCGAACAGGTAACTGCTTGAAATGGAGCCTCCACCAAGTTACGTCAGAAGGCATCTTTACAACCTTAAGGTCGAGGTCCAGCAATACATGACGCAACCACTGGAAGCGGCTCTGTACAGGCATGACTTAAACTACATTCAGTGGAAGTCTGTCTCATTCCATACCAACTCCCGCCCGGTGAATGCTGGTTTGGGAGTACAAACACCAACCATTGACGGGACAGAATTTCAACTGCTACGGGAGATCAGCACAACACTGGCACAACTTCGGTCTGGCTACTGCAGCAGCCTAAACTCATATTTGATCAGACTGGACCCCGACGTACTTAATTTATGTCCAGCATGTGGAGTCTCCGCAAAACACCTCTTCACATACCCATACAGCTCAATTCAATGAAAACCCCTCTCCCTCTGGTCCAACCCCCTCGGAGTGGCACACTTCCTGTGCCTATCGTTAATTTAACTTGACGACAACGATTGAGGAACTATTCGATCTAGGCAGGGCTAAGTAATTCGCTACAACAAAAACAACAATCTACGGCAATCCTAGGCACCCAAAACGGCGACATATTCTCCGAAGATTATGCAGGAATAGAAAAGAAACTAGTAGCAATTAAAATGAGGTTGATTCGAGAAAACGTTCACACGTGCAGACAAACTTTAAATAAAACTTCTAACTACTGGAACAGCTGTGGGGCGATAATATCTATGATTTGCGAAGCGTTCTAAAGTATTGTATACCGACGGATCGAATATGGACGACGGGAGTGCTGGGGCATGCGTACTCGGCCCAAGATTCCAGAAAAGTCTATCAATCGGCACATACCCAACCAAGCGGAAGAACAACTGGATCTAGAATAAAAATATCGGGTAGCCAAGCAGCGGTAAAGACCTTAGACTCATTTAAAGCGGCATTAAGGCTGGTGGACTTGTGTGTAAAACTTATTTGAACCGCCTGGGAGCCCATAACAAAGTAACACTGTGGTGGGTCGCGGAACATTAAGGGTTTGTAGGCAACGAAAGGAATGACTGTCTCGCAAAATGTGGCGCCCAAATGCTCTTGCGGTACATTTAAAGAATTCACTGCGGAGATATTTTGTCGCCGGGAAGAATCTCAAATTGCTGCCCACTGGCGGAAGTCAAAGGGAACGAGATAATCAAAGAGAAGCATACCTCCTTCTAGGATGTACTCCGAGAGGCTTCATGAACATATTCGGGAGGGTCTTAGAACTCTTACTGGCTACTTGGCAGGACACTGCAAGTTAAGGTACCATATGAATAAAATGGGGCTTTCTGTTAGGACGGACCGCAGGCTCTGTGGGCTAGTGGAGGAAACCTCAGAGCATATTCTCTGTAACTGCCCACGTACAATGATTCGCAGACTAATACGCCTAGGGGAACGATTATCTTCTCCATCCAAAATTTGGAACTTGCCACCATTCAAAGTCCTTACTTCTTAAAATGCCAAAGGAGGGATTACAATGACCGTTTAGCACAGTAGATCTTTTTCACATATTATGGTTTGAGCACATATCAGCAATGTATGTAGGTCTTTACTACTGAGGAAAATATTGTTATTGAATGATGAGGCTCAACTTTGTTGGCAGGTTCCACGGATTTAGTAGTAAAACCCATTTCCCCATATGTATACTTATTCCTGATATATACATAAGTATGATAGTTGCGCTTTTCAAAGATCAAACATTTTTTTTTCAAAATGTCGCATGATAACCCAGTAGTAAAACCAGCTGGGATATTGTTGAAATATCGTCTTAGTATGTATGTAACAAATCCACATGTACGCTGGTCTATATTCCTCTGATTAGTAAGATTACTTATAGAGGGCAAATACTTGTCTTTATATTACGAGTATTTACGAGTATTTTCTGCTACTCTAAAATATATGTTATATTGACTTATTGAATTATGTACAAATATTTACTTCAACTTTATCAAACTATAGTTCAATATTGACCGTCTATCACATTTTTTGTTATGGGTTAGTGGACTCAACTGTTTATTGACTTCTATGTAGAAGATAGTGTAAATATTTTATTTTTTTATATATTTACTTAGAATAGACAAGCGAGATAACGACGGCAGATGGCAAAAAGCCGGTGACCAGTCAAACAACCACATGAATAAATAAAGAAAACAAACCACTAAAAGCAGAGAACATTAAGAAGAACATTTATTTAAGAGCATTTTGAAGAAAACAGAGACAAATTTCAATGAGTCGAAGAGAAACAGGCGACGTAGTCCAGTTGAGAGTTGCTAAATATGTATATACATTAGGGTGGTCCAAAAATGCATGGGGAAAAGTAAAGTCGGAATTTTTATGCTCTCACCCCCTAGGATTGTTCTATACCGAAAAAAATATACCCTTATTTTCTTATTTTGAAATAAAAAAAAATTTAGAGGTCGCTCAAAGCGCATAAAGTTTTCCATGTATTTTATATGGGGAAAAACCCACTTTTCGCAGAAATGGTATAGAATAGTTAAAAATAAAAATTTTTCTACCAGAAAACTCTTTTTATCTGCAGGAGATTCCCAATAATAATAACCAATCGTTTATTTCACCATTTCTTCATCGCAACTATAATTTATAGGTCCGCCAAAAACCCCGAAAAGTGCAATGGGGTGACCAATAAAAAGTCGTTAGTATTAAAAAATGGTTAAATAAAAAATTGGGTATTATTATTGAAAGCCTCCAGAGTTTTCCGATCGAAAAATATTGATTTTCAAAAATTCTATACCATTTCTACGAAAAATTTTATTTTTTCCATATAAAAATACTCTAAATATTTTTTGATTTCAAATTACTTTTTTCGATATAGAACAATCCTAGGGGTGGGAGCATTATAATTTCGACTTTACTCTTTTTAGACCACCCTAATATACATACATATGTATGCACATAAAGTATTTTTTGCATGGTAAATTATAGTGTTAGCGAGAAAAAAACAATAAACAAATTAATGCATATAAATACAAACATACATACATACAAATGTACAATATACCATATCGAAAAGTTCGTCCTACACCCCTGAATCTCAAGTATTTTGGCAAGGCAATTTCAAAAAAAAAAATAATACTTTTTCGCCGAAGAAAAATAAAGTTCACCAAAAATGATCAAACTTTTGCTAAGGAAGTTTTTCGATTCGAGGACATTTTAGAATTTTTTTGGCCGAAGTTAGGGGACAATTTTAAATATGATATATAGATGTTTTTTGTGTAGAGGAGAAGTTTTCTTTATTTTATAGTTCAGTGATCTCAAGTACTCGTTCTAATACTTACCCACCAGATCTCAGTCCCTACCCTGATGTTAGCAAATTAAAGCTCACCAAAAATGATTAAATGTTTGCCAAAAAAGTAATTTGATTATTCCAGTAAAAATATATAAAAAAAATGATTTTATTGTCGAATATATGTATAAACATATGTAAGTATCACCGAAAAATGTAAAAAAAGCCCCCTACTTCAAACTGTGGGGTGAACGTTTTTTTGTTTGCTTGCAAGGCGGCACGGCCTAATGTACATATGTACGTGCATATGTAATTATTTCAATTAATTTTTATCAATTCATCAAATATTTTTCTGTTTTATTAAATAAAATATGTACATATCTATGTATGTATATGTAAATAACAAGTGAGTATTTGAAACGTACTTCCACAAATAAATACATGTGTTTTTGCTTATATACGTGCTTAGAATAGACTAGTGTATGAATATTTTTTCAGTTATAAAGTAAATAGAGGTACATAGCTAAAAATTACTGTAATAATGCTTATCATTTTACAAGATTTATATATACATATGTATGTATGTATATTTCTTTAATTTTTTACTAAATGCTTTGGTATTATGGACTTACATTTGTAATTATTCATACATTTATTAATGGAAAATATACAAACATACATGGTCTAGTAACCGTACCCGAACAAAATTTGCCGTACACTCCTGAGTCTAAAGTATTTTTGCGAGGCAACTTCAAAAAAATTAAAAACTTTTAGCCGAACGTAGGTGTCGCCCTTTTACATTATTCGTTATATCTCCGGCATTTACAGTCGGACCTTAAATTATGATATACCCATCTTCTTGTCACGAGAAAACAATTTCTTTGTGACCCTAGCGTGTCACCCTAATTCCAGTCGATTGAATCTCACCAAAAATCCTTGAACTTTTGTAAGGAAGTACTTTGATTATTCCAGTAGAACTATTTAAAAAAAAAAATATTGCCGAATCGCCGAAAAATTTTAAAACTCGGCCAAAAGAAATTGCCTTGCACAAGTAATATAGACTCAGGGGTTCACGGCGAATTTATTTTGTTTGCTTTTACATACATATCGAAATTTTAATAACGTAAGGAATTAATACGAAATTTAGTTCTTTTGAGATTTCATCATACAATTAATAAACTTGATAAGGAGAATATGTTCAGTCTGACAGATAACTAAACTCCCCAAAAGTTGCCAATATGTTTTTTTGTATTCAACTAAATATATGAATTGATCAATCTTTGATTAAATTTTCCCATAAAATTAAATTTTTTAAAATAATTATTGTATGTACATGAGTAGTTACGAGCATTTAAATTACTTTATACGAATTGGTTTCGCTTATGGCTTTTCGTTAACCTCTATTCCTTTTACATATATTAATACATACATATATACACTACTTACATACATATGTAACCACATATAAGTACTACATATTAACGGTGTCCTAATATGTATATTCATATTTACTTGTCTACGAATTATGCAGTAATATTGAGGCTATGATAAATCATGCTATTGGAACATAAAGGATAAGTTGAGCTTTTGGTGTTGCTTGCAGCTTTGATTGACTACTAGAGTAAAATAAATGGCTCATTTGATAGAGAGGGATAGGCAAAGTCGACTTCACCATGAACATGTTTTTTATTTCGATACATACTTAAAATAGAGCTTTATAACTAGTTATTACTACGTACAAACATTTTTTTATATGGCTCTCGTTTTTCTCAAATATCACAAGTTCTACTATAATAAAGAACATTTCTTTATTGTAGTTTATTACAAATAAAACCCAATATATGTACTAACTTCAATATGATGTGAGGTCTTACTTAACATTAGGTGCGTTCGCGTAGCTGTTAATTGTTCATGTTTAACCAAAACTTACAAGTTTTTGCAAATTTTCTGTTCGCGTACTATTTGGGATATTTTTCTCTTGTGAGAGAACAGATGTCATTTCGCCGGAATTTGGCAGTTGGTTGGTTTTTACTGGAGATTTTAAACGAACGCACCTATTAATCACAGGAGTATGGATACATTAGATCACGTAAAAAAAAAAATATCTTGCAATGTGACCGTACCCGAATCAAATTTTAGTATTTGGCATATGTAGTAATGATCCTCCATGGAGCTACCCTCCCCACAATAATTTTAAGAGTTCGCGCATCGATCGTTTATTTTTCCCATAGGAATAACACGTAAGAAAATTAGTTCTTCTCTTTTGAGGTCAATATAAATTTTGTAGGATCAATCAAAACGCTCGAAATTATAAAAATACATTGCCATTTAAGTGTTATGCAGGCTCAGATTTTTTGTTTCCTGCACCTTTTACACTGTTATTGTGTATCTACAAATGTCCAGTTTTTAAGATACATACTAAAATTGCGTGTCCAACTTTTACCTTCTATCGTTCACAATGAGTGAAGACCTCACATCAAGTGAATGGTATCTACATTAATAAAGTTTTAAGGCACATTCTGGTTTAAACTATTTCTAATATGAAAAGGTGATATACGGGCTTTTTAAAACTATCGTTGAGAACAATTTATACAAATGAGTTTATTTATATTTGTATATACATATGTATACACTTGTAAATTTCAGTATAAAATGTAGTTTTCTTTTTAGTCCCAATTCTACCACTTATTTTCACTATGTCAAATTCAAGGGCATTTGTCATCAAGTACGTGAAAACATATTATCAAATTCAACTAAAACCCAGAACATCGATTCATTCTCATCAGAATGGGTCTGCAGTCGCGTATAATCGCTGCTAAATCGGCTATATGTTACCTTTCAGACCATAATATTGTCGGCTGGGGCATGGATTAAGGAGAAGAAAGTTGTGTAAAAAAAAATCCGACAAATTTTGTCCTTAAAATATGGCATAGTGAAAATCAGCCTAAACTAAAATTTTAATTTTCTCAAGATTATGAAAAATTTATTTTATTTGCTCAGTATTTTAACTAAGTTTTTATGAGTATGGGAACGCTTGCAGCCGAGTTCACACCTTAATGCTTTATTGGTTTAAATAGATAATGTTTATAGTTATACAATTACATACTATACTTAAAGCATTTCAAACCCATTGAACAATATTTCTGATGAATAAGACATTGAAATGTAAACTGAAATTTGTGCTCATTAAATAGCATTAAAAAATCTGTGTTCATATGGAAAAGTAGCTTATGTCGAAAGGCTGGCTTTAGTATAAATCGGCATTCGCAGCATACGATTGCGAATGACTCACTGGCGCTAAGCCGTTGAGCAACTTTTGGCAAATAAACGTGGAAGAAATAGTTCCGATACTAGCAAGTCAATATTCTTATTAAGTCTCATCAAAAAATTCCTTGCCGTTTAAAAAATAAAGGGATTGCCGCATTATACTAAAGCCAGCCTTTCGACATAAGATACTTTTCCATACGAACACAGAAATAACTAAGGAAATTTCTGTTTTACAATTATTATCTTTAGGGCCGTTTTCTTATGTAGGTTTTAAGAATTATCTGCCCTTTAAACACAAATTTTGTTTCATAAAGGGCAAATACATTTTACAACCTAGATAAAACGGCACTTAGTTTTCAAAACTATTTATATTCTAATAAAAACTAAGGAGTTGCTTTTACATACATATATACAAATATGGACAGTATGCAATGCACATACATAAATAAATCTATGTACATACTTACATGCATATGTATTGTTTAAGATTAAATAATCTCACCGATGATTTCTTAAAGCAGCCTAAGCAATATTTACAAATACTTATTTGATATTTTTCTTCAAAAATTAGAAAGGGTGCAATCATTAACAAAAAGTTAACTACTTAAAATCTACTTATGTATGTATATTGCTAGACTCACTAAAATAAACTATTTGAATACACATTCCTATTTACATTTGGCTTGATTTTCGATTAAAAACAAAACATTCAAACTACAACTAAATTGGCACTAAGAATTCACTCAGCAGTTTTACAAAAACACTTTTTCATCTTCCATTTCACCCACAACAGGTAACAACTCAAATGCTATAACTATAAAACGCGTTTAGACTGTAGCGTCCACAACGTCAGCGACACAATGATCGCCAAACTGGGCATAACCAGCATTCGCCTACCACCACCATCCACATTCTCCTCCACCAAATGCGAAACTGTCAGCCCAGAAAGCAACAAATTCGTTGTAATTTCATGCGACTGCGCATCGATCAGCGTTGAAATGCGTTCTGCTTCACGCGCACACGCTTCAATTTGTATGCGCGTCGGCGTCGCCGCGCGCGGTACAAGCGCCACAAAGATACCCACCTCCATGGTGAGAAAGCCAGTGAGTTGACACTCAGCCAGCTGTACAAGCGCATCCAGCGCTTGCAGCACACTATTCAACGTCAACAGATCCTTATGTTGGCCGCGCACTGCATATAGCGCGCGATCGATTTGCTTGCGCGAATAGACGACGCGAAATGCGCCTGCGCAGATGGGACAGCAAGCGCCGGGCGGCACAACGCCGCGACAGTAGGGCGATGGTAGACGCGGGCATTTCACAGTGCGACAGCGCCGGCCCATATCTGCTGCAAGGAGGCCTACTTCGCGACAGCGACCATGATAGTCTACAATGATGTAATCCGCCCAGGCGGCACACTCGTGCGCGTATGTGACGCCATTGATGCCGCATACAGGGCCTTGCCAGGTGCAGCTGCTGAAGCAGGAGCCCCAGTGAGCGAAAGATGCGCGCGCTTCCAGCAGGTCACAAGCGCTAGCGTGCGTGTGTCGCTGCGTATCGCAGACGGGGCGGGATTCAATGGACGAACAGCCGCTGGTGAGATTGACTGGAAGGAGAACTAATTAAAGGAGGCTGTTGAATATGATTTGAAGTCGAGATTTACTTACCACACTGGTACTGCAGACACGGTCGATGCATCGATGACAAGCATATTTTGCGTTGTGCTAGGCACTGATGACCCGCTGGACAGCTGTAGGCGCCCTCACGACACGGACTCAATGTAGCGCACGCTCCATACTGCATTTCACTGTCCTGCAGGCCGAGACATTTAGCGAGGCAAGCCGAGTGGTAGGTGTTGCCATTGCTGCCACAGACGGGCACAAAGTGGGTCGGGCAGTTGCAGGGCAGGCTGGTGTACGAGGGATCATTGTAGCCTGAAGTAAAATGGTAGAAATGAAATGTTGGATAATTTACTGAACAGGAATCTCAAATCATCGTTTTTGTATTTATGCTCACCTGCCAGTCGACACTGCTTCTTGGTGCATGTAATCTCGCCCGCAAAGCAGCTACACAAGTTGCACTCCAGATAGAAAGAGGTACCATGCCGAAAACTGCGCCCACCCGGCAGCACGCAGTTCGCGTAAGAGAAGCTCGGCAGCGGTTGGCAGTGCTCGATGCGTCCCTGCGCGCCACAGCGACACACCTTGAAAGCGCCCACCGGACCTTCGCCCCCAATACCGCCCATCTTCACGCCCTGCAGCACTGGTATGCGCACATAAGCGCCAAAGGGCACCAAATAGTTTGACGCCTCACCGAGACTACAGCCGGGCACACATTCATAGGCGTTGCTTTCATTCCGGCGCGCTATGCACGCTTCACTGCCGTTGCATGGATGACCCTTGCAGGGCGCTGTCAGTCCATGGTGCCCGCCAGTTTCCTTAGGTGCATCACTCTCTTCGCGATATGGTCGCAACGATACGCAAGGCACATCATCGCCATCGGGATGGAGACGCGCGCATACTGATTCCGCATTAAGCGCCGAGTTCATGCGCGTCCAATCCATGCACTCGCTCAGTATCTCATAGCAGTCCTCGCGACAAATGTGGTTGTAGTGGCGATTGCGCGTGCATGGTTTAATTTGTAGCGCGCAAGCGATAGCCTTCCACTGCTCGGGCGCGCAGCGTGTCATATTCTTGATGGGCAGCTCGAAGCCATCCAAGCTAACGGAGCCATTCTGTTGCCACATTTGCAGATCGGAACGCGCTGCTACATCCGCGACGGCATTACAGCTGCGAAATAGCTCCGTCGGACGATTATTGAAGTTAGTGCAGAAGCTCAGCCCATCACAGCCCAACTCACATGGTTCGTCTACTTCGTCGACACACTGTCGCAACTCTAATTCGTTGCGCTCCAGCAGGCAGGAAGTTTCAAAAAGCGCGCGCGTCGCTGTCCAATCGTTAGAGTAAGTCTGCACGCAGAGACGCCGACACTTTGTGGACACCGCTTTCTCGCAGCAATGCAGCTTAGCCGAATCGATGCCGATCTGATTGATCTGCGATAGCTCGTTGGTGCTTTTAGTGGCTGGCACGAAGATTTTACGCTCTGCGGTCAAGAAGCACTGCCAAAGCGGTAAATGTGGCAGCGGCATGCCACAGCCGCCCACCTCTAGCTCGCCAATAATTATGTCTATGCTTTCGGTGCTATTCAACACCGAGCGACAGGTGCGCCGACAGCTGTCTACGCTGGAGAACTCACAGCAGGGCAGATCTGTAAAGATGAATGGAATATCTGTTTACATTCACTCGAACTAAAGGCGAGTCACATTTTTCAATTAACCCTGTCAGCGGCACAAAAGGCATTGAAATCATCTCAACTTACATTTGTGGGAGTTTGTCACCGGTGTCATGCCCGTTATGTTGTGTACGCATTGCAGCAGCTCGGCCTCGCGTTCCTCGTGGCACATCTCGCGCAGTCGGTGGTGGCCGTTGCGTTTGTGTGTGGCATGCGGTTCAAAGACATCGCGGCAGGCCTGCAACAATAAATTTGTTAAGATTTTAATAGCATGCGAATTTGATTGGAGCGTTCGTAGGCTTTAACGCTGCCTGCAATCAACTAGCAAACCAGTCAATCAAGTTGGGAATCAATTATTTATTTTCTTCTTTTTTATTTGTTGTTGAAGTAGCCGCAGGTACCACCAAAGACATGGGCACTGTGGCGATACCTAATTGCATATGCTTAACGCCTACGACTATTTAGATAAGAATAATTAAATGCTGGCTAGGAAATCAGTGAAGTAGTAGCTTTATGCGGTGCCAAGGCGGAAAATAAATGGCGGGAAAATAGCAAAATATGCCTGTAAATCTCCTACAGAGGAAGTTTAGCCAGCTAAGCAGTACAAAAATGTCCTTCTCCCGCTCATAACCTAGCGGTGCAACAAGCCAAGTGCTCTATAAGTAAAGTGATATTGCTTTTCCTACAACAGAGATGGCCCCTACATGCATATGTATGTCTGTGTGTGTGTCCCTAGGCATTATTTTAGCACTATATATTCTTCTAAGTTAATGTATCATCCAAAAATAGCACATACGTCGTTCTCCCACCTGCATCCAACAACAGTTCCCTCATTCCCCCACGCTGCACCCACCTGCAGGCATTCCGAAGTGCGCGCCGTACTACAACAACGATCGCCAGCCTCCTGATGTTCAAAACAAGCAAACATATGTTGCTCATCACTTTGACGGCACGCGTTGATTAGTTGTGGTTGCGCAGTCGATTCTGATGTGGCGCAGGCATTGCGGCAACGCGGCGACAAGCCCAAAGCACAGCAACGTCTACCCGACCACTGAGCGCCACGTGCAACGGCTGAAAGGGAATAAAAATAAAAAGCAATTAAGAATATGTTCACAAAAATAAATAAATAAAAAAGGAAAACAAATAATAAGGAAAGTATAAGCAATTAGATTCCGTTGATGTGAGTAGTTTAGATTTTAGTTTTCTTCTTTCGTTATAAATCGTGCACAAAATTGTCATTTGTACCAGAGTTTTTTTTTATCAGATAATCTTGCTGAAATGTGAGCGTATAGAAGATCAAAAGTGAATACATTCTTTAAGCGTTCGGCTGAATTGAATTTTGTTGTCACCATTAAAAAAGGTCCTTATTACACTTTGCTGAAGAATTATTTTCTTTTTGATATTTCGCTAGTTCCATCTCTGGCATAAATTAATATACGCTCATAACAAAATCAAGCATATAAATAAAAAAAAAGTGTTTAGCGCTCACATATTTGCTAAGTTTTTGACCTTGCTTTACCTCCAAATTAATGTTGTGAACCTTGACGTTCTTACACAAATAGAGGGACCTACAACTTTACGTCCTCTCCGAATAGTTGAGAAGAGCGGAAAGCCCGTGGTTAGAAAATACTTTTTATATTTTTAAATGCTGCTTGTAGCAGGGATCAAACCTAGGTCCTACCGGGCTGTTGTACACACCTCTAACCACTCGGTTACGGCGGCCGCCAAATATGATAAAAGGATTCATAATACAGACTCTTTGGCCGGTCTGTAGAAATAATGTAAGGAAGTCAGTTAAGAATAAGTTTTTATCGATGTGGCCGAGGGTATTGGTTCTAGACAACTGGCATACAACTATGTTTTCAGAGTTGAGTTGTGTCCCACAATACCAATTTACTACCTACAACTCAGTGAATTATAACAGGGGCCTTATACTTAGCCTAAAGAAGCATAACACTAGTTTTTCTATCGGTAGCTGATGTGGCGAGTGCTTTATACACCGCAAAAGCTGAAGAAACAAAATTTGAGAAACCACCAATTTTATTTAAATCTCATCTGTCGATTTAAAACTCTTAATAAAATTGAGGAGAGTACTCAGAGAGAGAGATAGTCGAGTGCGTTCGGAAGCAGTTGGGAAGTTTAACTAGTCCTTTCCGTCCAGTTTAGGAACAATTGAAGTTAACTTGAAAACGTAAGAAGAAGCTTACAAACATTTTCAGACCCTGTAAGATTTTAGATCCTTCCAACTGCAACTGGCTACACTTAGCCAATGCTGAGTAAACTGAAATATCCCGAGGGAGCGCTTTTCTGGCTAACACCTCGCATTCAGCGTAACGTAACATACTCCCTACATTGCTTTAATGAACCAGTGGTAATAGTCTCCAAGTCGATGGCTCTTATTTCCGTCTGGTTGTGGCCAGCAATATTTTCGAGCCTTGCCAATGGCAAAAAAGATCGAACTGTAAGACATTCGATGAAAGTCGCATAGACTTTTCGATATGAAATAATACCCACATACGACAACCTAACCTAACCTGCAGAATTTCTCGCCGCGAATTGTGTATGGGGTACGCTGAAAAAATATCTCTCTCGGTCTCTACCGGCATCCTAATAGATTCAAATTAGACCAAAAGCTGAAGTCTAGTGTCGACAAGAGGCATACATTTATTGATTTTAAATACTACTCGTTATGCGCCGTCTTGCGAGGTTTAAGTTCAATACGGTATATACATTTGTATCTATATATCGATGGCCCTGGGCTACATCATCTTAATAGGTCGATAGCCGTCAATCCATTCGTCGTCCTAACTTTGTACTAACTTCGCGCTGCCAGCCAAACTATCCTAACAGGCCCATTATCAGTTATGGCTCAATGGTATGGTGGAGCAAATTCTCAATGAATAGCGTAGGAAATCTACCTGAGGCGGCTCTTGATGCCCTGCTTCACTTACCATCATTTTGCACCTTCATACATGGGGACGCCTTAAGTTCAACCTGCAGAAGCAAAGGAGTTTGGTATCTAGATTCATAAAAGTGTATTTACAATACCCCAGGATAGTGCATCCATTAACTTTGCTGAGGAGATTCAACAAGGTTGAGTTCTCTGAGGATGAATGCTGGCTTAACTCCAACACTGAGCCCGTGCTCACACACTGCTGAATCTGTACGGACGGTTGCAAAACTTAAACTGGGTTAGGATGTGGTATTTATATCGAAGATAATGGTGAAAGGCTTCACTTTTCTCTTGGAGAATATGCCTCGATATTACAAGCTGAGATATTTGCAACTCCCAATGTCATGGACTCTGTGGTGGAAAATATGTGAAGCCAGCCCAGTAACTACTTCTAGACTGCATCCGTAATGCAAGTCTAGACTACATTATGTTTGAAAACATAACACATTTTTCTTAGTGTGCTTAGAGTGCCATATCACTCAGGAGTACCTTGTTCAGAACAGGTAATCCTTGGTCCGCAAACAGTTGTAGCCGTCGAAGCCAACATCAGAACATAGGTGAATATTTTGCTCAGCAATGACTGGGAGGCTTCGAGAGCATGCAGGTAGTCGAAATTAATGAAGCCCTCAATCTCGGAGGGTCGTGCTAGGTAGTTGCTTTCATGCCTCTTCTTTGCATGGGATGGTATGAGGATTTTGGCAAAGATGTTTTGAGATACGAGGAACTGAGCTACAAAACTGCATACCAATTATTTGTCTAAAGATTCTGAATAAAAAGTCGGAAATTATGGTGAAAGTCTCCAGAATTTTTATATTTTTTGCACAAAGTTTGAAATTTTGATTTGTATGCTTTTTGTTAGATAATGAGCTAGAATTTTGTAAAAAAATATTAATCCTTAAATAAAAAAAATAAAAAAAAATTGTCATATATCGGGGTGCCTAATACTTGTGGCCAAGGCTGTATGTACATGCTTGTACACAAACAAATTTCATTACCTTCCAATGTGCGATTCATGCAACTCCAAAAACTGATTTGCATTGGGGCACAATATTTTTTTAACTCCAAACGTAGCCCACGTCCATTTGCGTTATCGGTAGTGGCCAGCTGCACTAAGGAAAGCTGCAAAGAAAAAACACAATACACAAAAAAAAACGAATTAAAATAAAATATTTTGCGTGCAGATTAAATTACTTTTCACCAAAAGTCAATTAGTAATAAATTAGCACGTGTGACAGGCGCCAAAACTATGCGTTCATTGGTAAAAAAAAAATAAATAAAATAGAAACGGCTATTATAGATAAACAAAAGTGTGCGTTTGCTCGTGCCACACATATGCACTTACTTAATTACATACATACATAGGTGAAAATTGATAAATGACCGCCGTCAAGCAACTAAAGTAGAGCGTTGGCAAAAAAATGCCAAATACTTACTTGTAGTTTACAAAAAGCTACATTAGTTGAAAAGAAACCCTGCAAAAAAGTGATACAAGTTGCTTGTCTGCACCGGGTTATTTATGGCTTTTATTGGTAGCATGGCGCATGCGTATCGTCTGGTGACTGACCGCTGACGGCACACTCACACAATTCGTTAAAAATAAGAAAAAAATGTGTTTAGCAAAAAAATCCGCTAGTGCATTAAAAGAGATAAATATGATGTGTGTATGTTCACACAAAGAAACTTACATATACTACATATGTACATAGGTGATATGAACTAAGCTTTGGATTAGATATAGAACTGACAATATCCAAGGATGCCTTTTACTTTGTACCGTGGTCATGCGTCCAGGCCCGTCGAGAGAGGGTCGTCAGCGAATCAAATTGCCCTGTCCCGCCTGAATGTCGAGGCACGGTATGCTAATTTTTATATTTTTTTTGTATTTCACATATCACACTTTGATTTACCAGAAAAAAATCAGAACAGTGTTTGACACTTTAGATACCAGAAACAACAACAAAATACACGTAAATGTTTTGTTTTGCTCTAATGCTAGTTACTATCTGTTTGATATGCCATTTTACAATTAAATCATCGCTCTAAAAATATATCGCACAAAGGCCCTAACCAGGGTTGCCATTTTGGTAAATTGTTAGCAAAATTGGTAGAACAAATTTGGGTTGGTAAAAAGGTAAATTTGTTCCCTTTTTGGTAGATTTTTGTTGAATTATTTAGTTTGAAAAACAAATAAAACTTTTCGTTCCCGTCTTATTTTTCGTAGTTATCTTTTTATTAGAAATTTCTTTCCAAAAGTGCAGTGTACTTTATTGCATTAATTTTCGAACACTTTAATGCACATAAACATACGAATAAATGTGTATCTATAAAAGGCGAACATATCGATAAAAGGCGAACATTCCAAACTCTTTTTTACTGGAATTCCGAGAAGCTTTTGATTGCCTAAATATTTTAAATGATTATTTAAATAAAAAAAAGAACGGAAAAGTACGTAATTACCCACTTCCAGCCTTCGAAAAAAAATTAAATAAACGCATATTTTTATCAATGGCAATTGTGAAATGAAAAAAAACACAAAATACTGGCGGCAAAAAAATTAAAAACTGCCAACGGGAATTTTTAGCTGCACATTGTTGATTAGTCTCAAGTATTATGGGCTATAAAACTCCATACCTTAAATTGTTCAAAAAATTCAGAGTAAAAATTTCGAAATTTAGACGAAAATTTTTTGAATTTTTCTAAATGTTGTATTTAGCTTGAATCCTTGATTTTTAAATGTTTGGCTAAAGTGTAAACAATATTCTTATAAAATAATGCCAAAAATATTTGGCTTGGAAAAAAATTGTGAATATTAAAAAAAAATCACCAAGCTTTTTTGAGTCACTGTATTTATCTATAATAACTCCAGTTTAAATTTTTTCAAATGATGAAGTTTCGTTGTTGCCTTTAGTTTAATCACTTTCGCTTTTGGTTGAAGGATACTGAGAAGATGCCATTAATATGATCTCTTTAATAAAGAGTTCCTTAAACACAATTTGAATTCTTATGGAATTAACTGAAAAAATAACAAAACTATAGTTTTCACAATTGGTAGATTTTTTTTCAAGTGGTAAGTATTTTTTTTTCGTCAGTGGCAACCCTGGCCCTAACCAACAAATTTTTTATTTTACAAGAGAAGCAAGAAACGTTAAAAAAAGAGTCTCAAAAACTGGTAAGGATTTTTAAAAAGTGGCACTTAACTCCGTTTTTTTGGAACTAACACTTTAAAATTTTTAAATTAAGGTGTCGATATATATCATACATATGTATGTACCTCAATGTTGGGCATTTGCTACTCAACATGTCAACAAACGACCGTTCTAAATCGTTCACCAATTTTATGAAATTAAATACTTTCATTGCTGAAAATATTTCAATGCAAATACTTGAATTCGAAAAAAAAAACAGAACGCTAGTAGCTTATCTAGTAAATGCAAGGAGCTCAACTAAAAGCCAATTCACCGACGCGGCGTTAATTTGCCGTAAAATCATAATAAATAATCCGCCAACCGATTTTCATGTTGATATGCTCAATACGACTTTTGTACACATCTCAACATACATACATATCTATTTTATGTTCATATATTAATTATAACCGTAAGTGGGGCAACACGAATTGGAGCTGTAGGAGTGCGACACCTGCAGCCGTTAAGCTAAACATGGCAATGCGATTGTAAATTTAGCAAAAATGACTTTGCAATATTTTATAACATTATTGAAAATTGTTTTTACGTATATGTGTACGTACATATTTTTATAAAATTTTTTTTTTTCTTTAAACATTTAAGCATGCGACACTGAGCCAGCTGCCATGACAAGCGTTCGAATTCCAGTAGTTGAGCCTAGGGCTACTGGTAAACTCTAGGCGACACTGAAACTCGGTTTAGTGCAAGTATTTATGCAAAGAGATAATATTTTTACACAGCTCTTATAAAATAAAAACCATATTTACGTGTGCTTCAATATAGACTAATGAAGCTGGTAATGGTAATGCCAATAGTGTAGGCTAATGGTAATAGAAAATGGTAATTCCATCTTTTGCAGAATAAATATTTCACGTCAAAATCTTGTGAGTGTCCAGAACACTCAAAATTTTAATTTTTTTGTCACCATTTTTTTTTCAATAATAGAAAGGCAGGTTGTAGTATACGCATCACATCAGGCGCCAATTTCCACACCAATTTTAATTGTTTTATTGGACATGAAACTAGACACACTTCCCTTACAGACAGGAAATGCCTACGGCACACGTTCGTAACTTCTGCAGGTATCACGTCAGCGCAAAACAAAAGTCAAAGGCATAAAAAAAATTTTTAACAGTAAACGAATTACTTTCATATTACATAACTACCTTTTAAGCGAATTTAATAAAAGTATTGTCAGTTATGTTTGGAAAACGTATGTATGTATGCATGTATACTTAAGAAAAATTTAGTATCAAACATCATTTCATGCATATTAATCAAAATTATGAAAGGTAAACCTATACAAATATTAAAAAATTCATAAGCAAGAAAAAAATGTTGACACTTACACCAATATGTTGCTGTGTTTGTGTGAATGTGAGGCATCAAGCACTTTGTCAACTATGCATTATACAAAACATAATTAAATTCCTGCTTCAGAGTTAATACCTTTTGGTTTGCTTAATGAATGCTTTTACTTTGCCTTTAATTACAAATGCAATGCACGCATGTTGTAGTGAAAATGAAAAAGGAATAAACAGCAGAAAAATCCGAGTGTCTACTTACTAACTGCAACAAAACTCTGGCAATAATATATTTAATGTGCACAATATGAAGTAGTAGTGTGTAGAAATTCTCGACGGCATGAGAGGTCAATCAGTGACGGAAATGCTGAATTCCGAGAAGAAATTTATGTTTATGGAATTCAAATACGCATACAAGCCGTGCATTATAAAGCAGCTTGGTCTTCGAAAAGAGAAGAAATATAAACAATTTCGAAAGAATCTTATCTAAATGAAATATTATTTGTCCAACGTCAAAACATGCTACCTGGAATATGTAAATTTTAACAATTTTTTAGGGTTCTCAGTACAAAGGAGGCAAATCTCAGATGCTTTAAAATAATATCAAATTAATTTTTGTCATTTTTATAAACCATAAGGCAACATTTTGTCTTCGGGATGACCTTCATTGCGCGGGCCCAAAAGAAAAAGAAAACATAGCTAATATAATTTAATCAATTAAAGCATGGCATTTTTTCAGGCTAAACTTCATCCTTAGAGGGTGCAGATATATCGCACACCGTCTTCAAAACAGACTATTTCTTATCACATATATATATATAGAGTCATATAAGAAAGGGAGACTTTACCATAGGTTTTTTTTTAACAAATTATAACAAAAATTTACTCCAGCTTTTGCTGAATGGTAAATAAAAGCACTGTGTGTCTGTTTAGAGCATAATTCCAAAAATGTCAACTTTTGAGTCGTGCCTCTGTAAGCTCACCATTTTAAGAGGAGGTGATTATCTAAACATAGTCAGGAGCAAATTGGAAATTTGCAAACCAAGTGCAGGGAAACAAAACATTCTTCATCGCAAACTGGTATTTTAAAAATTAATCCAAGGTCATCTAGGATTTAGTGGTGCCTGAAAAAGGTTATATTTGTTTTTTTGTAGTTTTTAGTTATTTTTAATATTACTCTCAAGAAGAGCTGTACTGAAGAAAACTGCGTACTATGCTTATAATATTGATTTGTAAAATTTGATTTGAAAAAGGTTTTAGCACTCATTTCAGATTATAAATTTGATAAGCAATATTTATAAAAAACCAAGGAATGAAACCGATTCAAAATAACGTTCCGGTTTGGGTTTCGGTTTTGCCAAGTGTTTCGGTTTCGGTTTTGGTTTCGTTCTTCAAAATTTATTTCGGTTTTGGTTTCGGTTTCGTTCCGGATTCGGTTTTTCACAGAAATTTTGTTGATATTATTTAAATCACAATGTCTTAAACGTTGAGGAAAGAAAATCGAAAATTACAGTTCACTGATAATATCAACACTAGGTTCTTTCCCTAACAATCCGGACCGGATTTGGTAATTAGAGAATAAGAGAAACATTTTCTTTCAAAAATGGAACAAAGTTCAGAAGTACGGAAA